CTAGCTACTGTAATATCAGAACACTTAGAGCTGTATAACTAACCATCTCACACTACAGATGAACCAAGTTCTAGAGTGATAGTAGTTTACCCCAGACCAAACCAGCAGTGGCAGAATGGCCTAGCATCTGTTTCTTTTAACAACGATACTTTGGCACATGGAATACACAAAAAATACTGTTGTTGTATGCCATCAAGGGCTCACACAAAGTTTGTTGTTGTTGTTAAGTGCCGTCGAGTTGGTTCCAACCCATAGCGACCCTGTATAGGGTTTCTGAGGAGCAGTTGGTAAGCTTGAATCACCGACCTTAAGGTTCAAACCACTTTAAAGTCTAGCGTATTAACCCACAGAGCCCCACCAAGACTCCCACACAAAGCTTAACGGTAAATAAGTTCTGATGGATAATTACTTAAATTAATTACTCCCTAGAAAACAACATGTTGAACTTGGTGGTAGCCTTGACCCACCAAAAGCATATCTTTGGATGTATTACATCACTCACTAGCAAAGAAACAAGGAGTTCTGGTAGTGTAGTGGTTACAAATCGGGCTGCGAACCGCAAGGTCAGCAGTTCAAAACTACCAGCTGTTTTGCTGAGAAAGATGAGGCTTTCTGCTCCCCTAAAGATTGACAGCCTTGGAAACCCTGTACAGGGTCGCTATGAGTTGGAACCGACTCCACAGCACATCACAACAACAGTGAAGAAACAATAGATTCTTTATTACTTTCCCCAAAACAATTTTAAGAGGATTTTATTATAAAACCGAATTTTTACATCTGTATCAGAGAAGTCTGATCTGAAGGACTAAAAAATGCATATTCTTTTAACTACCCAGTTCAATCTGATTTTCTTTTGGAGAAGAATGCATGCATTCAATAAACATTGAATAACTTCCTCGTGTTAGGTGCCATTGATCTGGATTACTCATAGCAACTCTATTGTTTTTGTGTGCTGTTGAGTTGTTTCCAACTCGTAGCAACCCTGTATATAGTTTCCCAGAGCAGCTGGTGAACTTTGAACTGCCAAACTTGTGGTTAATAGTCCAGTGCTTATCCTACAGCGCCACACCAGGGCTCCATGTTGTTGTTAAGTGCCTTCAAGTCGCTTCCTAGAGGGTTGCCAAGGAGTGGCTGGCTGGTTTGAACTGCTAACCTTGTGGTTACACCAAAGCACCACACTAGGACTCCAGGGTTCCTTAGCACAAAAGCAAACTATCCCTATAGATTTCCTGTAGTCTTTGTGTGGCGCTGTGGGATAAAGCACTGGACTGCAAGGTTGGTTTGAACCAAAAGGTCAGCAGTTCAAACTCACCAGCCGCTCCTTGGAAACCTTATACAGGGTCGCTATGAGTGGAACCGACTCAGTGGCACTTAACAACTATATAGGTTTCCTTGGAAACCCTGTATAAGGTTGCTATGGGTAGGAACAAAGGAGTCCTGGTGTGACGCTGTAGTATAATGTACTGGACCACAAGGTAGGTTTGGAACGCAAGGTCGGTGGTTCAAATCCACTAGCTGCTCCTCAGAAACCCAATACAGGGTCGTTGTGAGTTGGAACCGACTCCATGGCACTTAGCAACAACAACATAGGTTTCCTAAGATGTGATCTTTGCAGGAACAGCTCAGCAGGGCTCTTCTCCCACAGAGCTGCTGTATGGGCTCAAACTGCCACCCGTGTGGTGGTCAGCCACTGGACCAGCAGGTTTCTTAGTGAATGACGACTACAGACCAAAGCCTTTATTTTCTGATGACTACACGACTGTGTTTGTGAGTCAGTTTGCGATAGGATCTGTAATACTTTTAAAACCATGTATTAGGAATGCAGGAGTAATTGTGAGCCTGACCAGTCACCCTCTTGTTGGTAAGTACCGTCGAGTAGATTCTGACCCAGAGCAATCTTATATAGGATTTCCGAGGAGCAGCTGGTGAGCTTGAACCACCGACCTTGCAGTTCAAACGACTTTGCAGTCTGGCGCATTAGCCCACAGCGCCACACCAGGACTCTATCTAGTACAGTATTAATGACCACTGTGGAGGTCTCGCAATATCTTGTGTAGAATTAACTGAAATTGTGAGGACAAATATTAGTACCCTGAAGTAAGGAAAATCACATTTATCCCAAAGAGTTTCCTTTTTTCACGTATTTCTACCTACTTTGCCAAATACTTTTACTTTCCAGAAGTAAACCAGGCAGAGATAAGAAGAATATTATTTTATTCCAAAGTTGATCTTTGATTTTTTTTTTCAGGGAATAGAAAATCATTTTCTTTAACTTTTATTGTGAATTGAGTGAAGATTTATAGACATGATCATCAATTTCACACACAACAAATCAGACACTTTGTTTTCTCTCAATGATTGCAATCCCCTCCAGGCAACAACAGTGATCCCACTTCCTCCCTGTGCTTCCTTTTTCCATTCCACCCACCTTCCCAGCCTTCTCAACTTTGTCCTTAGGGAAATGGTGCCTGTTTTTATCATTTTGAGTTTTGTTTTGTATCTTCCAGTCTATCCAGGACCTTCTCATGGGATCCCTTTCAGAGCAGTTAGTAGTGGTCGCTGGGCACCATCTAGTTCTTCTGGTCTCACAATTGTGGAGACAGATGTTCACAATTAGTTCATTGGAGTAATTGATGCCAAGCATCTTCAATTCTCATCACTATTCTTTCTTCCACACATGGAGAGACCAATAGTTGCAATGTAAATGGCTGCTCATAAGCTTTTAGGATCCCAGATGCTACTCCTCAAAGCATTCTTTGGGGACTATGTTATGCCAATTGACCGTGGTGTCCCCTGAGACTATGGTCCTGAGTCCTTAGACCCAGCAATTCTTTGCCTTAAGATATTTGATAGTTTTCATCATTTTGCCCACTGTATGCTCCACCATATCCATCACTGCATTTGCAACAAAGGTAAATACCCATGTACAAATTTCCTCTTTCCAACTTTTACATATTTGTGGGTATACTTCCATTCTTCCTTCCATACCCAGGCAGCCTGTGCATATGCCATCGTATCTACCCACAGAACGCTTTTGTTCCAAGTTTGTGTATATAGCACTATTTAAACTATTTACCCTTATATACCTCCATGTGTCTTCACCTGTCTTCATCATTCTTCTGCCAACCTCCCTTATGTGTATATTTCCCTCCTGGTCACCTGAGTAGCCAGTGAATTACTCTCCTTCCCTCCAACCCCTGGTAACCATCAAAGAATGTCTTTTTCTCTTTTTTATTAAGCATGAAAACCTTTTCTTGAGCTTTTACAACAGCAGTCTCATACAATATTTGTCCTTTTGTGATTAACTAATTTCACTCAGCATAATGTCCTTCAGGTTCATCCATGTTGAGGTGTTTCACAGATTCATTGTTATTCTTCAACATCGCACAGTATTCCACGAGTGTATAAGTTTGTTTCTCTGTTCTTCCACTGATGGGCATTTAGGCTGTCTCCATCTTTTTGCTATTGTGAATAGTGCTGTGATAACATTGGTATGTGTATGTCCTGGAGGGACTGCCGGGTCATAAGGTATTTCTGTTCCCATATTTTTGAGGAAGCACCACACTGTTTTCCACAGTGGTCGAACCATTTTACAGTCCCATCAGCAGTGTAGTAGGGTCCCAGTCTCTCCACACCCTGGCCAGAGTTTGTTGTTTTCTATTTTTTTTGAACTTCTCAATTAATGCTGATGTGAAACGATACTTCATTGTTGAATAACTTGCATCTCTAAGGAGCTCTGGTAACGTAGTGGTTATGAGTCGGGCTGCTAACCTCAAGGTCAACAGTTCAAAACTACCAGCCGTTCCGTAAGAGAAAGATAAGCCTTTCTGCTCCTGTCAAGATTTACAGCCTCGGAAACCCTTATACAGGGTCACTACAAGTCGGAACCGACTCTACAGCACGTAACAACCATTACCACCGATGGCTGAACATTTCTTCATATATTTGTTGGCAATGTGGCTGTCTTCCTTGCTGAAGTATCTGTTCATGTCCTGTGCCCATTTCTTAACTGTCTTTTTCTTCTGGAAATGTAGTTTTCTATAAATTTTAGATATTAGTTCCTTGCCTGATATGTCGTTGCAAACATTTTTTTACCAGTTTGTTGGCTCTTTTTAATCATTTGGTGAAATCTTTTGATGCACATAAGTGTCTATTTTTAAGAAGTCCCAGCCATTTATTTGTCTTCTACCTTTTTGTGTTTTTAGATATGTTTGACAGAGTATTTATGATTTAGGCCATGAATTAGAGCCCCTGAGTTTGTCCTATTTTTTCAATGATGATCTTTACATTTACATTTACATTTAGGCCTTTAAGCCACTGTGCTAACAAGAATTAGGATGGCCATAAACTACCGAAGGAAGTAAAGGGGTGAAGGCTACCCACATCATTTTAGTTAATGTTTGGCATGTCTTGGCCTGAGGACCTTTTAGCTTGTGTGAGGCAAGCAGCAAAAGAAGTGAGATTAATATTACAGATTAAGTCAAGGAATGCCTGGAGCTAAGGAAAATATACTTAATTTATTTCCATTGATTAACTCAACCAGACCCTTGTGTCCATTTTTGACTGGTAGTGACCAGGGGTTGACGTTATGGTACTTTCCTCAGGATTAGAATGAAAAATATTGTCCAGAATGTTCCCTCCATTTTAATCATATTTCTTCTGGGAAAGAATGACTTTCTAGCATAAAATTAAAGGAGAAGAGGAAGTGAGGCAAGGTCTAAAGTGTTGTACAAATGTTTCCAACCACAGTAGCAAAACACCAAAGAAGCTGGGTGGCACAAATGTGTGGCAACTGGAGTCCAAGGCTCACAGTCCCTTCCAGCCAGGTCTCATCCAGAGAGAAGCATTTCTGGCTTCATTATTAAGTAATGCTCAATCCCAGAGTGCCTAGAGGGAGGTCACACATACCACAGTGTCTTTCAAGAGATTTCCAGAGAAAAGATAGACTAAATGGATGATCCTCAGCCCACCCATGATGTCCTATTAGAGCTGTGCTGGGTTCAAGTCTTGAAGATCAGAAAGCCCCCAAATGCAGAGCCTGGCAGGTTTCTTTTTGTCACCGACCCCTGGGTTAACTCAAACCACACCCTCTCACCCTTTTGCAGTTCAGCCATGGCAAAGGCTGTTACCATGCTTCCATCAGTCTGCTCCCCACTGGCATAAACTGCAGTCCGACGGTGACCACCAAACACTAGCTGCCCAGTGCCTGGCCCAGGACCAAATTCAATGCTCACTGCAAACAGGTAGACCCCACGCTCAGGGGCTCGGAAGTAGCCGTGTTCAGGGAAGTAGCTGCTGCCAATGTTGATGTGAGTGGTGTTAAACTTCACAGTCCGCAGAGCCATCGTCCCTTCGGAACAGCTGGCATAGAAGGCCACAGGGGAGTCTGAAATGCAGGAAGAAAGTGCTCAGGGACTAGACCTTCTGTCCCTGAGGTGGGAAGTTAACCCCTGAGACCTACCTTCCTCACCTTGTTAGCCTTAGAAATAGAATGGGGCTTCAAAAACATTTGTGTATACATGAAATGAGAAGATAATGGAATATTTTACATGAATTTGTTGAAGGCCCCTTGTAGGCACTTACCTCTACTGAACATCCATCAAAGATTGTATAGAAGAAATCTGATCAAAAGGGGGCAAATGGAGAAGGGAATCGTCATGGAATTCAGACTTTCTGGAGCCATGGGAGGTTAGAAGAACCCCCCAAACTATTGCCCTGAGACAATGTTTAAATCTTAAGCCAAAAATATTCCCTGAAGTCTTCTTTAAACCAAACCATAGTTTAGGTTGGTTAGCAAAGAATGTCTGTTTTGAACATTGTGCTCTTTTTAAAAAACTACCTAATTGGATCAAATTGACAACAGCAACCCAAAGGTCAGACAGGAAGCTCATGAGGTACTGAGTTTACGCTCTCAGAGGACGAGAACTCAGAAAGAGAGGGAGAAACGGTTGTACAGTTTGAAGAATGTAACCCGTGTCTCTGAATTGCACGTGTGGAAAGTGTAGAATTGGTTATATTTTGCCGCTCCTTGGCAACCCTATTCAGGGTCTCTGTGAGTTGGAACCAATTCAATAGCACTTAACAACAACATCCCTGTAAGAGTGAGTAAATGCATTGTCATAACGGAAAAATTCCCCAATGCAATGTCCGATTTTCTTAAAACATCTTCTTAATAAGTCCTGTGATCATCCTGTATCCTTCGAGAAACTCTATCATGATTACCCTTTGAAATCACAAAAATAATCACCATAGTCTTCAGAACGGACTTGTCGACCCTGACTATAACAGGTCCAGCAGATGCCCCTAGAAGCCACTGTTTTAATTGTGCCTTTTCTGCAGAGACATGTTTTGTTTGGAATAAAGCCATGCATGTATGAAATGGAAGCCTACAAGCAATACTGTTTTGACTAACCCTTGAAAGTAAAGAGCAGTGAAAGGTGTTTCCTTGAAAGGTGTTTGAAACAGGGGCTTCAAGAAAAGAAGGAGCTGGTAGAGCCACGAAAGAAAAGTCACAGAGATGCAGGTTTTTAGACCTGGTTTTTCAAACAGGCAAAAATGAGGCCCAGAGAAGGAAAGCGGATCACACAGCTGGGAGCCAACCATGAGTCCGCTGGTGGCGGGTACTCTTCACACATTTCCACACTTGAAGGAGTACTGCAGCCAGCCTTGGTCGGCTAAGACGGAGACAGAACACAGGTTGGCAGGAGCTCGGGCGTGGAGGCAGAGCGGTGTGGTGTGTGGAGGGTGAATGGGCACAGTGAGAAAGCAGGTAGTCGGGTTACCTAGCCAGGAAGAGCAAGGTGCGGGAGGAGAGGGCCAGAATAGCAGAGGTCAAGTCCCTCGTGGGTCCCAGCTATGGCATTTCCTTTGGCCTTGGCATGCTCCTCATCTGCAACCTCAGGAGGGATTATTAAAACCAATCTTCCCATTTCTCAGGGCATGAAACCAAGTCTTAGAGGAATAGCAACTTGCTAGCAGTTATTGTTGTTAAGGGCCTTTGAGTCGGTTCCTACTCATACCAACCCTATATAGCCACCCGGTATAGGGCTTCCGAGGAGTGGCTGGTGAGCTTGAACCGCTGACTTTGTGGTTCAAACCAATCTTGCATCTAAGTCACTATGAGTCGGGACCGACTCCACGGCACTTGACAACAACAACAAGTCACTAGAAGTTAGTGACTTAGATATCAGAACAAGTCTCAGCCTTTTTTTCTCCCAGTCCAGAAGCAAGCTTGTAAATATAAAACCTCACCTTTCTCTAATTGTGGAAGAGTTTTTGAGAATTTGGAGAGCTCAGAATAGCTTCACTGTTTGTGTAAGATTTTCATGTTAAAGGACAGCGGGTTAGCACTGCAGTTCCCCCAGTACCCAGGAGGTGGCGCGCTAGCTCAAGTAAAGGAAGACCAGACTAGGTCGCCCGTGCTGGTATTGGATCTCCCTTTACGGGGTCCCCTCCCACCAGCCTGGCTGCCCTTTGGAGTGCAGCCCTCCATGAGAGATCCCCACCTAGGCCCCTCAGAAGATGTAAGGGTCGCTGATTTGCTGGAAGGCAAGGTAAGAACAGACTTCCCCATAAGTAAGGGCGCACATCATTCAAGTCCTACAGACTTCCTAAAGCAAATAAGGGGAAAGGGACAAACCTTAGACACTCCTAAGAGGGAAGAAGATGGGAAACCTAACATAGGTACCCTGGGACACAACCTCAGCCCTGAAAATGCTGGGGGAAAGGGGAAACATTGACTGATTTCCTACAACGTAAAAAAGCCAGCGATCGTGCTGGTCAGAAAGAAGACTATGGCCTTTGATTAGCCTTCAGATCTAGAACTGAACTCATCCCAAAGCCCACCGCCCACCCTAGCCCCATATCTTGGGGGGATGACAATACTAGAGAAGTATGCATAACATGTACTGGTCAGCCATTCAAGATCAAAAGAGCAGCATTTACCTAAAGGCAAGATTCAGAAGGGTGAGGTAAGAAGGTGGGATGAGAACAAGGGTCATAGGAAGGAAGTGGAATAAGTGAGGACTGCAATCATTGAAATGAAACAAAGTGTATGATGTGTTGAATGTAGAACTGATGATCTGCTCTGTAAAGCCTGCATTGTTGTAGCTGCTTTTTGCCATTGAGTTAGCTCTGATTCATGCCCAACCTCAGGAATAACAGAAAAAACCATTGTGGGGCCCAGTGCCATCCTGGTGATCATGAGTCTGTTGGTGGTGTGAATACTGTGCCAATTCACTTTAGTGCCCTGTGGGTATTACATCTCTCATTCTTGCTGACCTCCTATTTTACTAAGCATGATGACTTATGGATCTTTCTGGATGGCACGTCTACTGTGAGCCAGCCAAGTCTTACCATCCTTGAGTCTATGAAGCATTAATAGTGGTAAGTGGTTGGAAACCCTTGTTGTTGTTGTTGTTGTTGTTGTTGTTATGTGCCGTGGAGTCAGTTCCAACTCACAGTGACCCTGTACAGGGTTTCCGAGGCTGTAAATCTTTACGGGAGCAGAAAGCCTCATCTTTCTCCCACGGAACAGCTGGTAGTTTCGAACTGCTGACTTTGAGGTTCGCAGACCGATTCGTAACCACTACGCTACCAGAGCTCCTTCTAGGGCCCTTTAGTTGCAGGTAAAACGGCAGTGATCATCTATGAGCTTCTGCAGCGATCACATGTGGGAAGTCCCAGGAAGAGCAATGCATAGGCCGTAGCACAGAGCACCGATAACGAGCTCCTTTCAGGGTCCAAAGTCTTTGCCTGTTCTTGCTTTGTGTGCCGCACATGGTAGGTTATACCAGCGCCTAGCCACACACACACACGTGTACCCCAGGGAAAGCTGACTGAAACTACCTGGGATGAAGAGTTGAGATGGTAGGGTTTGAAGGTGTGACATGGAAGGAGAGGAGGCATTTCCCCTCTCTGCCCTACAGTTACAGCGGCAGGGCAGGCCAGGGCCAGCAATGCATATTTCAGCCTAAAACATTAACATGCCAGGTAGCTCGGCTAGCTCCCAGGCTTTGACACTGACAGTAATTCTCCAACAGATAGTGACTTCTTCCTGGTATGGCACGTGGGTTAATGTGCTGGACTGCAAGATCAGTTTGAACTGCAAGGTCAGTGGTTCAAGCTCACCAGCCACTCCTCGGAAACCCTATACTGGTCACTATGAATCGACTGCACAGCACTTAACAGCAACAACAACAACAACCTCACCACTAGGTCCAAAAGCCTTAGTGGTGCTGTGGGTTAAGCACAGGACTACTAACTGTAAGGTCAGCAGTTCAAACTCACAAGCCGCTCCACAGGAGAAAGATGAGGCTGTCTGCTCCCATAAAGATTCACAGTCTCGGAAACCCTAAGGAGAAGTTATACTCTGTCCTATAGGGTCGCTATGAGTTGGAATTGACTTGATGGCAGCTGGTTAGACTCTAGGTTTACCACCCAGCAGTCAGTTTATCAAGGAGCTCTGGTAGCGTAGTGGTTACGAATCGGGCTGCAAAACTCAAAGTCAGCAGTTCGAAACTACCAGCTGTTCCGCGGGAGAAAGATGAGGCTTTCTGCTCCTGTAAAGATTTACAGCCTCGGAAACCCTGGACAGGGTCACTATGAGTCGGAACCGACTCCACGGCACAACAACAACAGCAAATCAGTTTATCATACTTTGATGGCTTGTATGTTGCTAGGATCCTGGAAGCCATGCCAGTAGTTAGTCAAATATCAGCAGTGGATTCAGTGGACCTTCCAGATTATGGAAGACTAGGAAGAAAGGAAGATGTGATCTACTTCCAAAATTTAGTCAGTGACAACCCTCTAGATCACAGCACAGTGCTGTCTGATTCAGCGCTGGACGATGAGCCCACTAGGTTGGAAGGCAACAGTGCACTCAAAGTTGCGGGCAATCGAGAGGATGGCATGGGACCAAGCAGTGTCTTATTTAGTCGTACGTGGAGTTGCCATAGTAAGAACCTGAACAACAACTAAACAGTCCCCTGTTCCTGAGAAGACTCGTTCAACATCTATCTTGAAGTACAATGCTGTCTGTGATAGGATAATATCCGTATACCTATAAGGAAGATAAATTAATACCACTATTAATTTATACACTAACTGCTAAAGTCAGTGAAGATGAAATTGGAAAATTCTATCAACTTCTTCAGCTGGAAATTCATCAAACATTGAGTTAAGATGTACTGATAATTACTGGTGATTGGAGTGTGAAGGTTGGAAACAAAGAGTAAAGATCAGTCATTGGAAAATATGGCCTTGGTGATAGAAATGATACTGGAGATTGCACGATAAACTTTTGCAAGATCAATGACGCATTCATTGTAAATACTTTTTTAAACAACATAAAAGATGATTATACACATGGACCTCACCAGATGGAAAACATAGAAATCAAATTGTGGGGAGAGACTGTGGAATAGACCATTAATTGCTCATAAGCAAGTTCAGGCTGAAGCTGAAGAAAATTGAACTCATCCACAAGAACCAAACTATGACCTTGAGTATAAACCACTTGAATTTAGAGACCATCTCGAGTACAGATGTGATGCATTAGACACTAATGACAGAAACCAGAAGAACTGTGAGGTGACATCAAGAACATCATACAAGAAAAAATCATAAGGTGATTAAAAACACAAGAAAGAAAAGACCAAAATGATGTCAGAGGAGACTCTGAAATTTGCTCTCCAATGTAGAGATGCTAAAGCAAATATAAGAAATAAGGAAGCCAATGAGTTGAACAGAAAAGTTCAAAGGGCAGCTCAAGAACACAAAGTCAAATACTATGATGAAAAGTGTGAAGACCTGAAGTTAGAAAACCTAAAGAACACACTCAGCCTTTCTCACACTTAAAAAACTGAATTAAAAATTCAAGCCTTGACTTTGCAATATTGAAGGATTCTATGGACAAGATATTGAATGATGCAGAAAGCATCAAAAGAAGATGGAAAGCATATAGTCACTGTTCCAAAAAGAAATGGTCGATGTTCAATCCTTTCAAGAGGTAGCATATGACCAAGACCCTACGGTACTGAAGGAAGAAGTTTAAGCTGCACTGGAGGCATTGGCGAAAAACAATCTTCCAGAAATCGACGGAATACAAATTGACATCTTACAACAAACTGATGCAGCACAGGGAGAGCTCACTCGTCTATACCAAGAAATTTGGAAGACAGGTACCTGGCCAACTGAGTGGAAGAAATCCATATTTGTGCCCATTCCAAAGAGAGGTGATCCAAAGGAATGTGGAAATCATTAGGCAATGTCATTAATTAATATCACTTGCAAGTAAAATTTTGCTGAAGATAATTTAAAAATGGCTAAAACAGTACATCGACAGAGAACTGCCAGAAATTCAAGCTAGATTTAGAAGAGGATATGAAAGTAGAACTATTGTTGTTGATGTCAGATGACCTTGACTGAGAGCAGAGAACAGCAGAAAGATGTTTGCTTGTGCTTTATTGACTATGCAAAGAATTTGGACAGTGTGGATCATGACAAGGTATGGAAAACATTTTGAAGAATGGGAAATCCAGAAATCGTGCTCATGAAGAACCTGTAGAACAAGGAGAACAGGGGGACAGTGAGTGGTTTAAAATCAGGAAAGGTGTGGTGTGCCAGGGCTGTATTATATCACCGCACATATTGACTCTGCATGCTGAGCATATAACACAAAAAACTGGATCATATGAGGGAGAACGTGACATCAGGATTGGAGGACGGCTCATTAACAACCTGTGATATACAGATGATATAACCTTGCTTACTGGAAGCAAAGAGGACTTAAGCAAAAATCCTCACAACTGGACCAATAAGTAACATCATGATGGAGAAAAGTGTGAAGTTGTCAAAGGATTCATTTTGCTTGGATCCACAATCAACACTCATGGAGGCAGCAGCCAAGAAATCAAACGATGTATTTATTGCATTAGGCAAATTTGCTGCACAAGATCTCTTTAAAGTGTTCAAGACCAAAGATGTCAGTTTGAGGATTAAGGTGCGCCTGACCCAAATCATGGTATTTTCAATAGCCTCATATAGCTCTGGTAGCGTAGTTGTTACGAATTGGGCTGCGAACCTTAAGGTCAGCGGTTCGAAACTACCAGTCGCTCCGCGGGAGAAAGATGAGGCTTTCTACTCCCATAAAGATTTACACCCTCGGAAACCCTGTGCAGGGTCGCTATGGGTCGGAACCGACTCGACGGCACTTAACAACAACAACATATGCATGTAGAAGTTGGACAATGACTAAGAAAGACCATAAAAGAATTGATGCTTTTAAATTCTGGTGTTGGAGAAGAATATTGAAAGTTCCATGGACTGTAGGAAGAACAAACGAATCTGTCTTTTGAAAGAAGCAGAGTCAGAATGCGCCTTAGAAGCCAGCATGATGAGACTTCATCTCTCATACTTGGGCTATATTATCAGGAGGGACCAGTCTCTGGAGAATGCCATCATGCTTGGTAAAATGGAGGGTCAACGAAAAAGAAGGAGACCCAGACGAGATGAGTTGGCACAGTGAGAGCAGCAATGGGCTCAAGCGTAACGATTGTGAGGATGGTGCGGGACGGGGCACTGTTTTGTTCTGTTGTTCACAGGGTTGCTATGAGTCGGAACTGACTCAACAGCACCTAACAACAACAATCTCTGAATGGGAGAGCCCTGGTGGCATACATTGGACTGTTAACCACAGGGTCAGTGGTACGAATCCACCAGCTGCTTTGCTTGAGAAAGATGGAACTTTATGAATCGAAATGGACTGAACAGCAGACAACAACAGTGATATCCCTGAATGGGAAGTGTGAGTCTGAGTCACAGTGACTAGAATCATCTTTTCTCTTTCACCCACCTTTTCTCAGGCAGAGGAACTGCTTCTGGATAGCAGTCCTCCTACACCTCCCAGTCTCCCAAGGGCCCAGCACCTTACCTGCCTCCATCAGCGTTGCCAGGGCACGGTATTTGCCTGGCGTGTCGGCCCAAGCCTCTGCCTGCTTCTTGTTCCGTGTCTGGGGAGCTTCCGGGTCTCTCTGCTTCTTGTTCCGTGTCTTGCTCAGCATGACCTGCAGCTTCCCCAGGTTTATGCTGGAATTGGCTGCCACCAGCCCTTGGAAGTTTCCAAAGAGGCTGTGGAAGAGCAACTGGTGCCGCTCCAAACCTTGCTGGGTGGTGGAGATCGCAGTCTGCAGACCCTCAAGAGAGTCATTGAGAGCAATGCCCCCGGAGGCTTCGCAGCATCGCGCAGCCTGCTGGACCTGGGCGCCCAGGCGTCGGAGCTCCACCTTCAGTCCAGCCAGGTTCCTAGGGCCAGGGCCAGCGCCCTCCTCACGGGGCTCCTCGTGAATGGGTTCCAGACCTTCAGTGCCAGGCCCAGCCCGGTCCTGCCAGTCACTCCTCGCCCGCTCCAGTTCGCTTACCCGAGCGGCCAGGGCAGTCCAGCCATGAGCCTGGTCGTGTAGCCCAATCGCGGCCTCCTGCAGGCCCAGCCGGATCTGCTCATAGTTCAGGGGCAGCGGCCCAGGCGTCTCCTCGGCCATCTCCTCCAGCATCTCCTCCCCGAAAAGAGCGGCCAGCACCGCCTCGTGCCGCAGCGCGTCGGTCAGCAGCGCCTCAAAGGAGCTGTTGAGCTGGCGGAGGTCACGGCGCGCCAGCTCCTCGGCCGCTTGCAGCGCGGCCACCTCGTGAAGGACCTGGAGCAGCTGGCCACGCAGCCGGGCGGTGTCGGACCGCGCTTGCTGGCTCTCCGTGCGCTGTTTGTCCAAGGCCAGGGAGAGATCCTCCAAGGCGGCCCTCAGAGCACGCACCACGGGGCTATCCAGCTTGCTCCGCTCCTCCAGGTTCACCTGGGTTTCCTCCAGGACCCGGGTGGTGTCCCGTTGGCCCTCACGAATGAGATCCAGGTCCAAGTAGAGCTTCTGGCAGTTGCAGTCCTTCACATACTTAATGAGGTCCGCGTGGCTGCCTTGCAGGTGCTGGAGGGTGAGGTTGAGGTCCAGGAGGTGCCTTTCCATCTCCTCCTTGGTCTCCTCCATAATCAGCGACTTCTCCATCAGGATCACCCGAAGCTCACGCAGTCCAGTGTGGTTGACCAGCAGCTCTTGCATCTGCTGCTCCACCTTGCCGATCTGATCGAAGGTCTCATCGGATTCTGAGTACAGCTCCTTGATCTCGTCCTCCTGCCGGCGCAGGGTTGCCCTGATGTCTGTCAGGGCCGCTAGGGCGCTCTGCAGCTCCTCTTCCCTGCGGGCTGCGGTCAGATGCAGAGTGGAGAGATTCCTCTGCAGCTGCCCCAGCCTGGCCTGCAGGCTCTCTGGCTCCGGCCTTGCTCTTGCCCCTAGGTCAGGCACCACCACCAGGCTGCCAGAGGCTCCCGGGAGCTCCTGGGCCTTATGGAACCGTTTCAACTTGGTGTCTATGTTGGCCTCCACCTCCCTGAGGGAGTGGTGCATGGACAGCTGCTGGGCATACAGGCGGTCCTCCATGTCCTGCCGAAGTTGGCCCACTCTCTGGGCGTTCTCCTGCACCTTGCTCTCAAATTTGGCACCAAGCTCCTGAAAGTCAGCCCTGTCCACGGTGCTCTCCTGGACCCTCTGGATGGCCTGACGATTGGTCTCCACGTCAATAGACAGGTTTCTTACCGTCTGTGAAAGGCTGTGCAGGCTTTCATTGAAGCCCCTCCAAATGGGGCTGAAATGCTCTCGCAGAAAGGCCTCCAAGTGGGGCAGCAGCACTTGCTGCAAGGATCTGCCCTGCAACTCTGCAGGCAACAGGAACACATTTACAAATGTGAACTGTAGGAACACACCCCTTCCTAGGAAGCCTGCAGGGGACCACAGGGACCCTCTGCCTCCCTCTGCCTCCCCTTCCACCTACCATCTCAGATGTACTCATGCACTCACCAAACTCAGTTTGATTTGCCTCCGTTGTGGCCATTGTGAGGTTACTTGTCCATAGGTCCAGAAGGCTGCCAGCCATCTGGTGAAGGTCATTCTGGACATCTTCTATCTGCTGTTCCTGCTGTACCACCACCTTACTGATCTCTGCAAGTGGGTAACCTGAACACGTGGCAGAGGTCAGTGCCGAGGGCTAACCACCCAGGCTTGGTCAGATCACAGAGAAGATTCGGGGGCTGGGAGCAGGGAGTTTATAAGAACAAATGGCAAGGGGGCTCTGGTTTGGGAGACGGGAAGTCTTTTTCTAGATTGTGGGGTTCAGGGTGCAAGGAAGGTGCCAAAAGGAGCTTCCCCCCTAAGCAATGGGCCCCGGAAAGCAGAGCCTCTGTAGTGAGCCTGGGCTTCTGTAGGTGGAGTAGGGCAGGACCGGCAGCGAGGCCAGAAGGGAGCCTCTGCTGATTCCAAGTGGATGCTTTTCCTGAAATGGCTCGACCCCATCAGAAGAGGAAGGACTCAGGCACAAGGGCTCTGCCTGACCACCCCTCCTGCACAACCAGACCAGGAACTCCAAGGGGACGGTCCCACCTTCCCAGGAAAGCAACACACCAGGTCCAGAGCTGACTGGCGCTTCCCAAGGTTCCTGGTGACCATCACGTGGATCTGTCGACTGGAGTGTTGTGGGATCTGCAGTGAGAAGGGGGCGGGGTAGCATGGGACACTGACCTGGAGATCAGTGGTTCTGTATGGCCTCTGAAGCCTGAGGTCAGAGGTTGAGGTGGGAAGGGGTAGGGGAAAATAGGCCTGTGTGTCAGGCAGGGCAGGGTGGGTAGGCCACGAACACCCTACCATGGTGCTGGCAGTCGGGGCCTGTGTAGCCCGGGCAGCACCTCCAGGCCACTGAGTTCATCACTTTCTGCTTCACCTGGTACACTGGCTTGGAGGCCACACGATACCTGGGGGAGGAGGGTCGGCTCAGTTATATAGGGAGGGGGACAAGCTGGGGTGACCAGCGAATGGCCCACTCTGCCCCACTCACATGACTTTGACTTTCTGGCAGTCAGGAGCCCCCTGTGGACACGGTTGTTGTGAGTGGACGAGGAATTTCTCTGTTTTGCAAGCAGCTACAAAGGTGACCAGCCTGGACTTCTGGTAGGGGCACCAGTTACTAGAAAGAAATCAGAAACTGAGCAAAATGAAAGGTTGCTGAGCTGATGCCCAGGCCCAGGCCCACCCCTCTCTCCTGGAGGTCCATGGGAAGGCTGGGATTGAGCAGCACTACCACCAAGGCGAGGTTTCTGCAGTCTGTAAACCCTGGGAGGGAGCATCAGCATTATTAATTCCTCCAGTTCAACATTAATCCCTAGGAGCCCTGCCTGGGAAAGCTGTGCTCCACCGTTTTCTAGGAGCTGCCTTTGGGCAGCACAGAGATTCCAAGGAGCTCCCCAAAATCACACAGCAAAGTTCCTGGCAAAACTCTCACTGTTTTTCTTGTTGGGAGGGAAACAGCCAGGTATAGCTGTGGCTGAAGAGTCTGAAACCAGTTTCTCCTAAACTTTCTGGCTGTAGGACTTTGAGCAAGAGTGCCCCTTTCCCCATCTAGTCAATGAAAAGGCTGCACTACCTTTCTCAGTACCAGTGCCCTCTTCTCAGAGAGCCAAGGAGTGTTCCTGACAGGCTCTCAGAGAACCGGACTCCATCGGCCCACCCTGGCTGCCTTAGCAACCTGTTCCCATTGCTATTAACATCCTTCCTCACCAGAGACCTCACCCAGGAAGAGGACCTGCTCCCAGACAGCTGTGTGAGCTGTCTCCTCTCTGGGAAAGGTAACCTGCATTGAGGCCTCCTCGGGGCTGACTTGGAGGGCACACTCCACATCGGGAACACCTGGGGTGGGGGGTAGTTCTCCATCTCTGCCCTTCACCAGCACGTGCTGTGGCACATCCTGGGAGAGGAACAATGCTTAGTGTTCACTGACCTGACGTGGTGGCAGCTTGATGGGGTCAGTGGGAGGGCGGATGGTTCTTTCTTTAACTCCCAGAGCAAAGCTCTCTCAAGTTTCAAGTGGCAATGACCCCTTTAGTTCGGTGTAGCTCAGCAGCTCTGGAGTGCTCCATGCTGGGCTCATGCTCAGCACTCATAGTGCCAAGATGGAAAGACGAGTCTTCCCTTGGGGTTCCAAAGAGAGCTATCAATCTCCCATGGTGGAATAAGTGCTAGGACCAGTGAAGAGGTCCAGGAGTCCATAGAACTTTCAGAAGGAGGTGATGACTGGGCTGAGTGATAAATGGAGAGAGTTAGATGGAGCAACATGAGCTGGGTGTGTGGGGACCCCGGAGATGAAGACTGTGGAGTTGAGGCAAGCTTGGAATAAAGACCAGGCCAGATCCTGGAGACTTTGGGTGTCTTTGGGCTGGGTGGGAAGGGTGGTAAATTAAGCAGGGGAGAGATGTGAATGAGTCAGCCTGGCTATTGGGCACAGAAAGAGTAGGATGAGAAAAGACTTTGATTTAACTTAGTTGTTGCAGGGGTCTAGGTAAAATTAGATGGCACCTTGGACTGGGCAGATGATGGTAAACACAGAAAGAAATGGTGCTATGGGATCTTGGTGATGGAGTGACTCTTTGGGGGCTGGGATTTTATTTACTGGTGATGGTCTCTATATTGGACAATCCAGTGCCATCTTACAGGAATGGTGCCGAGGAGAGCAAAGGTAAGAAAGCTAAGGGGATTGAGTGACCATATGTGTTTTGAATGCTGAAACCAGCATCAGCCTGCCTCCACTTGGTTCCCTGAAGCCTGGCCGTCAGCTTTTACTCTTGGCAGCAGATTGGAAAACTTCTTAGGAAAATGATCCAGCCCAAGAGGAAAGGCCAAAAGATATTGGCATCAGAAGTTCTCAGTGAAATACTCCTACCAGAGTATCAAATAGCAAAACGGATCAGAAAACACCATCAATATACTAAAAGCTTTAATCCGCTTTTCAGTCTCACTATATTCTTAAGTAGGGGAGTCTTGGTGTGGCACTATAGGATAAGCACTGGATTGCAAGGTCACTTGGAACCACAAGGTCAGTGGTTAAGTGCTGACTCAATTTCACTTAACAACAGTGACAACATTCTTTAGTAGGAATCCCCTGAGTGGCACAAACAGCTAAATACTCAACTACCATCCAAAAGGTTAGGGGTTTGAACTCACCCAAAGGTGCTTTCCCCACAAATATATCAGTTTGTTATACTATGGCAACTGGATGCTGGAAGTTATGCCATTGAGTCACCCATGGTGGACCGATTTCAGTGGAGTTTCCACTCTAAGAACAGACTAGAAAGAAGGAATAGGCATCCTTTCTTTGAGGGATTAGCCACTAAAAACCTTATGAATAACAGTGAAACAGTGTCTGATATAACAGTGCTCAAAGATGAGCCCTCAGGTTGGAAGGCACTCCAAATAAGCCTGAGAAAGAGCTGCCTCCTTCATGCCATGGGTGGAACAAGGTTTTCAGACCCTACCTTCGCTTCTCAAAATGAGAAGAAATAGCTGCAAACATCCATTAATAATCAGAACATTGAAGGTATGAAGTATGAATCTAGGAAAATTGGAATGGATTTCATCAAGATCGATATCCTAGGAATTAGTGAGCTGAAATGGACAGTAACTGGCCATTCTGAAAAGAAAAATCATCATTTACTATGTCAGAAATGACAGACAAATTCAAAAGAAATGGTGTCACATTCATCATCAAGAAGAACATTTCAAGATCTATCTTGAAGTACAATGCTGTCTGTCATCTATACAACATCAAGGAAAACAAGTTAATGCAAGTATTATTCAAATTGACTCACCAACCACCAGGTCAGTGGTGAAGAATTCTACCAACTTCTTCAGTCTGAAATTGATCAAACATGCCTCGAGACACATTGATAATTACTGGCAATTGGAATTTGGAAACAAAGAGAGGGATTGGTAGTTGGAAAATATGACTTTGGTGATAGAAATGACACTGAAGATCGCATGATAGAATTTGTACGATCAATGACTTACTCATTGCAAATATAATTTTTTAACAACGTAAATCAAATGCACTACATCTGTGAGAGGAGATGATGGAGAAGCTCAATATCACCAGCCAATAAAAAGCCAGGAGTTGACTGTGGAACAGACCATCAATTGTTCACATGCAAGCTCAAGAAAATTCAAACAAATCCATGAGAGCGAAAGCACAACCATGTGAGTTTAAAGACCATCTCAAGAACAGATTTGATGCATTGGACACTAATGACCAGACAAATTGTGGGATGACATCAAGAAAAGTTAAGAAAATATTTTCTTGTCTTGCTAAATGACATAGTCTATGAACTTTACCTAGGGGTGGGTGAAAGGTGGAGGGAATTATTCACAGATTAGAGGGTAAACACATGCTAACATGAAGCTGGCAATATACAAGAGAGAGGCTGGCAGCAGAGGAAAGATGAAGTAGCAGGAGACACAGGGAGGAATGTAAGAGCTAAAGGAAATAGAGGTAAATACTGTTAACTGATGGTACATGGAGGGGATTGTAAGCATTGTAATGAAGCAGAGTATATGATTTGCTGAATGTAAAAGTGATGATCTGCTCTGTAAATCTTCACTTAATTCACAATAAAAAGTTAAAAAACAAAAACAAAACGTTATACATGAAGAAATCAAAAGGGCATTAAAAAGACAGGAAAGAAAGAAAAGACCAAAACGGATGTCCGAAGAGACTCTGAAACTTGTTCTTGAACCTAGAGTAGCTAAAACAAATGGAAGAAATGATGACGCAAAAGAGCTTAACAGAAAATTTCGAAGCGCAGCTCTAGAAGACACAGTATTATAACAAAATGTGCAAAGAACTAGAGTTAGAAAACCAAAAGTTTGCTCAACATTTATTTCTCAAGCTGATAAAATTGAAGAAAAAATTCAAGCCTCGAATTGTACTACTGAAGGACTCAATGAGCAAAATCTAACAATATCATTAATATCACACACAAGTATAATTTTGCTGAAGATAATTAAAAACCAGTTACAGCAGTACATCTACAGGCAGCTGCCAGAAATTTAAGCTGGATTCAGAAGAGGACATGGAACTAGGGATCCCACTGCTGACATCAGATGGATCTTGACTAGAAGCAGAAAAAGATGTTTACCTGTGCTTTATTGACTATGCAAAGGCATTCAACTGTGTGAATCATAACAAATTAGGGATAACATTGCAAAGAATGGGAATTCCAGGACACTTAAATGTGCTCATGAGGAACCTGTACATAGACTAAGAGACAGTCATTTGAACAGAACAAGGCAATACTGAATAAAATCAGGAAAGGTATGCACCAGGGTTGGAGACTTTCACCATCCCATTCAATCTTTGTGCTGAGCAAGTAATCCCAGAAGCTGGATTATACAAGGAGGAACGTGGCATCAGAATTGGAGAAGACTCATCAACCACCTATGTTATTCAGATGACACAACTTTGCCTGCTGGAAGCAAAGACGACTTAAAATACTTACTGATGAATATCAAAGACTACAGTCTTCAATATAGATTGCACCTCAATGCAAAGAAAATAAAACTCCTCACAACTAGATTAATAAACAGCATCATGATAAATGGAGAAAAGATTGCTGTTGTCAAGGATGTCATTTTACTTGGATCCACAATCATCACTCATGGAAGCAGTAGTCAAGAAATCAAATGATGTATTGCATTGGACAAATCTGCTGAAGGGAAAAAGAAAAAAACAACTTCTTTAGACCATTAAAGAGCAAAAAGGTTACTTTGAGGACTAAGGTGTGCCTGACCCCAAGCCATATTTTTAATCCCCTCAAAGGCATGCAAAAGCTGGAGAATCGATATATTTGTAGTGTTGGATGAAGAATATTGAAAGTAGTATCAGCTGCCTAAAGAACATACAAATCTGTCTAGGAAGCAGCACAACTAGAATGTTCCTTGGAATTGAGCATGGTGAGACTGCATCTCACATATTTTAGATAAATTATTAGGAGGGACCAGTCCCTAGGGAAAAGTAGCATGCTTGAAAAAGTAGAGGGTAGGCCAAGAAGAACCTCCTAATGAGATGAATTGTCACTGTGGCTGCAACATTGGGCTCAAACATAACAACACTTGTGAGGATGGTGTAGGACCAGGCAGTGT